GCTAAATGTTTGGTTTCCAGAGTCTGAATCTGATGGCAGCTCTGTCTGAGAACCTGCTGACAGACAACATGTTACTGAGTGTCTTCTGTCTTCCAGGTGAGCTAATTGTTCACACCCTTATTTAGAAATATTAGATCCTGATGTTGTTTAAATGCTCCACATGCAACATGCAGCTGAACTTGAGTTTGTGGATCATGAAGATTCTAAGCAGGCAGATTTTGCTCCACATCATGTTCATCATTTGTCTGTTTTTACAGCTACTTTGGCTGGTTGTGGTATAAAACCAGCCCTCAGAATCACTACACCAAAGAAGATTGAAGCTCTGAGTGGATCTTGTTTGGAAATCCCATGTATCTATGATACAAAGGATACCAGCTATGACAGCAGCAGAACTATCTATGGAGTTTGGATGAAAGGTGGTATCAATTTTGGCGATTATCCAAAGATAGTTATTTTCCACAGCAGTGGGTCAGTTAACAGCTATTCACTGAATATTACTGGAAACCTGAGAGAGAAAAACTGCACCACTCTGTTTCCTGATGTAAAGACCAGTTATACAGACAGATACTTCTTCAGGATTGAGAGCGAGCCGTTCAAAGCAACAGCTTGTGATGATCCTCTCAGTATAACAGTTAAAGGTAAGAGACCTTCAGTACTATAAGTCTGAAAATTATATGAAATAATATTTACTATTGTTTATTACACAGTAATTTACTCTTCCTGCAAGATACCCTGTTTTATTTATTTAGACTGGCTTCTGCTTGAAATTATGTTTTTTTTGTTTTTTCATGTAGCTGTAATTTTGGAAAACTTGCAGTTGAAAATCTTTTAGAAATATTCTGTTGGCAGGATTAGGTTTAGTTTCTCTCTTTTCAGGAAAAAAAATTTTTGAAGATCACACTATACACAGTAAATGTGAAATGAAATTAGATGAATATATTTGTTGCTATTCAAAGAATCAGTCGATATTCTTGAGTTTTCTTTTTAACAATGGAGCTATATAAATGAAGTCAGTACTTATTGGCATCAACTGTCGAGGTAGGGTGGTTATTGGTTCAGGACCCAAATGCAGAGATGAGTTTTAGCTGATATGATCGGAAAAGACAACAGAAAAAACATACAAGAACAAAATACAGGAAACCAAAAACCACGAGACATTAGGGTAAAACGTACATAAGGAGTCAATTATCGACGAGGAACCAGAAAAGAAAAACTGCACAAGAAAAAATAAAAATAAAAAATATTAATGGGAGACTGAACAAAGACTGGTCTAATAAGCTGACAAGGAGCAGGTGTGGATGGAAGCAACTAAAAGCTAGGGGAGAGGAAACTGGCACAAGGGGGCAACAGAGAGCAACACATAAAACAACACTGCCAGAAAACAACTACAGAGACACAGAATTACAGTGAAACTAAAAACTAGAAAACAAACCTTAATAAAGGAGAGAACTCTGACATCAACTATCAAAGAAACTTGGTTGAAAGTTAAAACAATTTAAATATCTTTCCAAAATTTCTGTTTTCTGCATTGAAAAAGTGAAATATAAAGCTTAATAAATGTAAAAAAATGATTAAGTACTAAAATATATCTCATAAAACCAGACTGTTACTTAATTAATAAAGACTTTATAGGAATAATTGTACCAATTTCTTATTTGCATTATAAACCTTGACAAAATATGATTTTTTTCAATGTCTAATGATAACTTCCAGATTCTCCCTGGAGTCCCAGCATTAATATCCCTGTTGGTGATCTGAAGGAG